AGCATTTTGGTAACATAGCGTCCCACTCACTTACATTTTGCTCCACAAAGGCCTTCAGTAGCGATTTCAGCGACCGGTTTGTACGCTCAACTTGTCCGTTGCCTTGCGGGTGGTAAGCAGTCGTTCGCGTCTTGTCTATACCGAACACACGACAAAGTTCCTGAACCAGCAAACTCTCGAAACATGAGCCCCTATCAGAATGTAGCTGCCCCGGTGCTCCCCAGTGACACACCCAGTGATTTACCATCGCCGTTGCTACGGGGACTGTATCGGCTTGGGCGATCGGAACTGCTTCGCACCACTTGGTGAAATAGTCGACCATGACCAAGATGTACCGATGGCCACGTGATGTTTCTGGTAGGGGACCAACAAGATCTACTCCCACAATCTCGTTCGGGTAGCCTGCATTCATAGGCTGCAATGGTGCTCTCCTGGTGATGGTCGGGTTCTTGAATGTGGAGCATGTCTCACATGTCTGGCAAAAGTTAGTGACGTCTCTCCGTTGTTGTGGCCACCAAAACCGTTGACGTGCTGCCGCTTCCAGTTTGTTGATTCCAGCATGACCCAGCTGTTCGTGCAGTTTAGATAGCACTTCGGAAACTAATGATCGCGGAACTACGATTCTCCTGATATAGTTTGGGCCAAAATCAAACACTAACACACCTTCCTCGATAGAGAGCTTGTCCCACATCGCCCATAAGCATCGAGCTTCGTAACTTTTTCCCTCCATTTCCTTCGCGGTAGGTTTGTCGCTCCCTAATAGCCGTTTGTCATAGATCGGTGATACGTCTGGATCTGCTGCCTGTGCCTCCTGCCAGCGACCGTACTCCGAACTTTGAAGGTTAACTAGAGCTACGTTTTGTGTACTACAAGACGGGCAGTCTCCATGAGCACGAGTAGGAAGTCTGGAAAGAGCGTCCGCGTTGGCATGCTGTGCACCAGGTCGGTGTCTACACTCAAAATCATACTCCTGAAGTTGTTCCTGCCATCTGGCGATCTGTCCCTCGGAGTCTCTGAAATTCTGTAACCAACGAAGTGACTGATGATCTGTTCGTACCAGAAACTTCCTTCCTAATAGGTAGTGTCGGTTTTGTTTTATAAAGAATACTAGGGCTAGCATTTCCTTTCTGGTTGTGCAGTAATTCCGTTCTCTTGCACTGAGACTTCTACTGCTGTACGACACCACTCGTTCTATTCCGTCCTGCCCTTTCTGTGACAAAACAGCTCCAATCGCCTGGTCGCTCGCTTCCGTGTCTAGAATAAACTCCCCGGCATTTGGTGACAGATCGAGGAAAACCAACACCGGAGCTGCACAAAGGGATTCTCGTAACCGATCGAATGAATTTCGACACTCAACGGTCCATTCGAAGGTTTTACCTTTCTGTAACAAGGTATTCAAAGGCGCAGCGATCTCTGAGAACCCTTTCACGAATCGCCGATAGTATGAGGCCAACCCTAAAGAACTGCGTAGTTCATCAACGTTGGCAGGGGTTGACCATAATCTCACTTGCTCCGGCTTACGAGGGTCAGTACGAATCCCCATCCCCGAAATGACGTGCCCAAGCTACGTTACCTCGGTCTGTAGTAAATGGCACTTTGTGGGCTGGAGTTTGAGGCCCACATTTACCAGGCGTGTTAGCACCTCCGCCAAGTTGTTTAGGTGCTCGTCTTTTGTTTTTCCGTGTACAATGACATCGTCCAGGTAAACGAGACACTTGTGGGGCATCAATTCGTGTAACACCTTTTGCATCAGTCGTTGAAAAGTCGCAGGGGCGTTAGAGAGGCCAAAAGGCATGGTCTGGAACTCATAAAAACCTGATGGTACTACAAACGCCGTTTTCGCTCTGTCGCTCTCCTCCACTTCTACTTGCCAGTAGCCAGAAGCCAAATCTAGCGTACTGAAATAAACTGATCCTCCCAGTGCGTCAAATAGATCATCGATCCTGGGGAGGGGAAAAGCGTCTTTTCGAGTAATCTCATTTAATCGTCTATAGTCGACACATAGGCGAAAACCACCATCCTTCTTTTCCACTAGAACAACCGGGGCTGCCCATGGTGAAGTCGAGGGCCGTATTACCTCCTTTTCTATCATGTCATCTATGAGCTTTTGCAATTCAGTCTGCCAATGTAATGGTATGCGTCTTGGGGGATTTTAATCGGGATTGCATCACCGGTGTCGATACGGTGTTTCACGAGATTGGTTCGACCCAAGTCGGTACTGCGCCATGCAAATGCGTCTGAGTGGTTGCGCAACACATCTTTGAGCCGTTTCAGTGTCTGCTCATCCGTGACTCTGTCGAGTGAGCGAATAAAGGCGTTAATGTACTTCTCACTCTCTAAGGTGTCCTCATAGGTTGTAGATGCTTCCAAAGCACCACTTCCACAGGGTTTTAACAAAACTGTACAGTTATCGGTGATTAGTTGGCACCTGTCCAGATCCAATCGACACTTCAACCGGCGTAACAGATCCATCCCAACAATAACAGCAAACGGAATTTTGTCCGCAACAATAAACTCCTGGGTGAAGCACTGTTTCGCGACGTCAACTTGTGCGGTTAGGGATCCTCGAACGGACAACAATTCTCCATTGGCGGCAGTTAGTCGGCAGCGACAAGGCGCGTATACACGTTCTGCTAGCTGGTTAGTCAAACTAGATCTGATTAGACTCTTACATGCACCTGTGTCGATGAGACCTATCAATGGAACCCCTGCGATCTGTAATTCTATTGCTAATGCTGAATCTGTGGTCGACGCACAAACAATGGCTGGTATAAAGTGTGAATGCAATCGGTGCCACTCACCTGGGCGTCCGTTATTGTAGCGAGGTAGACCGCGATTCGGAATTGGTCGGCGGGGCCACCGAGAACTCTGTTGCGTTGGTCGCCATGAGCCTGAATATCTTTGCTGATAGTCAGGATGCCACGTTAACCGTTCCGTTGGTGCACGTCTGGGGCGTCCATTTCCCCTCAAAGCGAAACACCCGGAAGTCGGCGTGGTCATCGCTCTGTCGACCTGCTCAAGTTGTTCGCCAATTCGTACGGCTGCATCCAACTCCTGCGGGGGGTGAAGAAGAAATTCACGTCTAATGGATGGTGTTTGGATTCCTTCTAGGAGTTGTTCTAGTATTCGTTTATCACGGTCGCTTGATGACTCGCTCTCGTATGCGATGTCGGCCATCTTTCGGAGTTCGCGCACGTACGTCCTAATGCTCTCTCCGGGCCACTGGTACCGTGAGTGGAATTCCCTGCGTAGGGGTGCAGGCAATGCAGGAGGGTCCAGTAGGCGGCGCAAGGCAGTGAACGTCTCAGACGTGACTTCTGTTTCCAGAATTTTACTATCAGCAACGACATCAAAAGCATCCCCTGACAGTAAGCCGGCGAGCACGCCTGAATGTTGGTGGACCGGGAACTGCCGGAGGTAAAGCTGGACTTGTTTCTCCCATCTGGAGTACGTCATCCCGGGAGTGTAACGCTCCGGAGGTGGGATAGCATGCATGCAGACTGACGGACTCGAGCCTGTTGACAATTTTTCCAAAGCTCGGGACAAAACATCCAGGGAAGCGGAAAGTCTGGTAGTGGGGTCAACGACATCCGAATGGCCTTCGTCATCAGACTTGTTGTTCATTTTTGCCATGATCTTCATTAGACTAATGATGGTGGATTCCTGATTCTTGGAACTTGGCAGGGTCGCCACTTTGTAACACGCAAGCACGGAAGAACTCCAAGGGTTGAGAACGAAGTTCTATTACACAACACGTAGCCTAGTTAACCAATGTCGTGTTCTTGTTCTCCTCCGGTAATGGAGCAGGAAAGGCGCTCTGAAAGGCAAACGGGAGAGAGTGCCGTTATAGCAACGATTCAACTTTGAACGCGCGCCAAAACAATATCGATTCTTCTCTACATTACCTCTGAGACCGAAGGTCACTCCTACGACTGGTTTTTGAAGGTGCTATATTAGTGGGGACAGCTGGCATCTGTGTTCAATCGAAATATGCGTCGATAAGCTGTTTTATTCTGAAATGTAATTGTGGTGCTTTTTGGAACTCCAAAATGCGAATGCAGGCAGTGTTACATGATATTTTATGAAGCGGTCAAATTGCAAAATATAACAGATACCGAATAACAAGTGGTTAAATATAAAACACTGTGCGATGATCTAAAGGAATTCAAGTACTTATTTAAGTATCATGAAAGATGTGAGACAACACGTACTTTGTGATCAAATGTAGCTGTGTGGATGCTGTCCAAGTGCCCAAGTGTCTGACAAGCAGGGTAACTTCGGAAAAAAAGCAATAGTATAATTTATTTGTAAACATAATTCAGTGGATTATTGAAAATACATGGATAAATGACGTAAGTCAAGTCAACTAACGTTTCCATCATGACTTAGAATGACCTTAGAAGTTGAAGAAACATTCCTGTATACTCAGGTACTGAACAATTTTAAAGTGTGATCGAGAAACGATGGAGCTGACAAAAGATTTCTCCTTCTGCTCTCTTCTATCCTATTACGTTGATCTCGCCTTTGCGCATGTACCATCGCAAACATCTATGTGTCCTTCCCATTTATTCTATTTACGGCCATGACGAATACGAAAGCCGATAAACCTTGGATTCGAACCCCGGCCGCGCAGCCGGCAATCCGGTACGCTGACATTTCGCTACACCCGGAAAAGCTGTACCACAGCTACACAACCAGCCCTCGTTCGTTCGCCGTAGGAGCACTCTACGGACCGATTCCTGTTTTCTTTACAGCTTAGGGTAGTTCAAGCATTTTCTTGTAAGTGACACCGTTGTTTGCTGACCACAACTAGTAGGCCGTTAGTATTCGCTGCAATGACAGGAGAATCGGGTTGTGCCGAACTCCTTAAAAAGAAGTTGACGACGTTACAGAAGGATATTGAAGACCTCCAGAACACACTGCTTAATAAACTCGACGATATTAGGATGGAAACCTCTCTTCGAGAAATGGTATTTGTGCTTTCCTTTTTGTATTTCCAGGCCGAAGCAGAGGTTGCCTCCATGGAACGTCGGAATCGGCTTTTAGAAGAGGATTTGGAAGTGTTTCATAGCCGTCTTACGGAAACACTAGCGAAGTTGGATGACGCGAGCAAGACGGCGGAGGAGAGTGAACGGTAAGTTTCTATCCGTTTTTCGCCATATTTTGCATGCTACACATGTTCTTGCTCACCGCATGTCATCCGCATGTAGAGTTTGGCGTGGATTAGAAAATCGGCTCAATACCTACGATCGAAACGTAGAGGAATTGGAAAAAACCACTGATGAAGCTGTGTTTGCAGCTGAGGAAGCAGATCGGAAATATAGAGAGGTAAACTAATACGTTAGCGTCCGATCACATTGACCCTTGTTTCTATTAAATCCATTTGAGCTTTTTCGTGACAACTTCTAATGTTGTTAAGTTAATCAGAGACGTTGTTAACTATCTGATTAGCGAACGCAAGGAGCTGGAAACAAGGTCCATCGCAGATGACGAGCGCCTCAGCCAACTTGAAGACCAGCTAAAGGAGGCCAAATACATAGCAGAAGATGCTGATCGCAAGTACGACGAGGTGAGTGCTCCTTGTTCATATACTTGATTTTATCACTTTACACCATCAATTAGTCACAACCTGGCAATCGGTTTTTCATTAAGTGTTAACTTTTGACATTCATCCGGCAATAAGTTCCGTGTCATACCCGTTTAGATGTAAACATCATATTATTTTAGTCCCAGTCATGTTGCTAAGCGCTGCTTTGCTTTTTAGACCTAATGGAGCTATTGGGTTAGTCACCCAAACAACACAACTGTTTTACCCCCATCGTATTAAGTTCACGTTCATGTGGGACCTTAAAAGTAGGAACATCTCGTGGATGTTCCCTTTTCGAAATCGTCGTTGAGCCAACAGGGAACGCGATGGATTGATCTGCCAAAGGAGAGGCAGATCAACACACACGATTCACATACTGTACAGGCCGCGTGAGTAAAAGCAAACGAACGGAAATAAGGGGAAAGACAAAGTTACCAAATTACATAAGTTATATTGAGATGCAAGTGAAAATGAATTGTGGTGAAGTACACCGTACTGGATGAGTAAAAGCTTAAAGCATGAAATGGGATATTTTAAACTGCAGACCAGGGGTGTTCAAGTTCAAGCGGGACTGGAACGATAAGATTAACCCTCGAGTTTTCCTTCTTCAGCGGGTCGTTGAACCAGGAGTCGGCAGACTGAAATACTGATGGTCCTAAAACAAAGACCGCGTCACACCCTGTCCAACCAATTAATGCCCACGTATCCTGCCTAGCAGTACTTGCTGGGCCACTTACGTGAAGCAGGAAAGAGAAAAAAGGATAACTCATAAGCAGAAAGAGAAAGTGGAAAGAGCTAAGCAAGTAGAATACCAAGATATTTGAGTCATTAAAAAAGAACTGAAAAGTGTAGGTGAGTCAGTTAGGAAAAAGGAAAGGTTTGGTGTTTTCACCCTTAAGCATCGAGCTGGCGCGCAAAACCCTTAACCGTAGGTTCCCTAACCACGTGATCTGGAAGCGAATTCCAGCGGTCTATAACTCGGCGCGACAGACGAGTTTCCGTCCTAATCCTATCAGACCGTGGTTTATGCAGTTTCAGTGGGTGACCGCGGAGATTAGGTAACTTGGCGGGACTAAATAGCCCTGACAAGTCCGGGCCGGTTTTACCCGTCAAAATACGGTATGTGAGAATCAGGTCCCCTCTTATCCTTCGGTAGTGCCTTGAGTACATCCCCAAACTGAGCCAGCGTTCAGGATACGTCTGTCCCCTTAGACCCTTCATTAATCGAGTACCCACTCGTAACGCCCTCTCCAAGTCCATATTGTCTCGGTTAAGATATGGTGGACAAGCCCGGATCCAATATTCCAGGTGGGGTCGGACGAATGATGAGAATAGCTTCACAAACAAATTGGCCGTTAGGATTCTGAAAGAGCGGCAGATAACTCACATCATACGAACCCCCGACAAGCAGCCTTCTTCCATTTATCGCCAGAATGAAGTGCTGATGAGTGTACGACCCCTAAATCAACCTGCTGAGTGACAACAGGGAGTTCACCACCGCCGACAACAAATCGGGTGGGAGGATTAACAGCTCCGATTCGGAGAACAGAGCACTTGGCCCTATTTATGGGCATCAACCATAAGGTAGACCATTCCCAGAGCCTATCCAATGCACGCTGAATTGCCTCAGGACCCACCGGAATATCCACAATATTCCAGAGCTTAAAGTCGTCAGCAAACATTAGTGCTGACACCCCTAGCTCCCCCGGCAAGGCATTTACATGGATCGCGAACAACAATGGCCCCAATACCGAGCCCTGCGGGACGCCACTAAAGACAGCTTGCCTGAGCGAAAGGCCACACCCCAGCCGTACGCACTGTTCCAACCCATCAAGGAAAGCAGGCACCTATTGAAGGGCGCGACCAGATATACCGTAAGATCTCAACTTTAGTGAGAGTCAAAGATGAGGAACAGTGTCAAAAGCTTTCGAAAAGTCCACGAATAGCACGTCTACAGCGTGGCTACTGTCTACCGCTTCGGCCCAGCTTTCACGAGCTACAAGTAGATTAGTCTGACATGAAAATCCCTTACGGAATCCATGTTGCGCAACACCGAGGTTGAATCTATTCAGGTGGTTCTCCACTGAATCCTTTATCAGCTTACCAAACAATTTGACTACTACGCTTGTCAAACTGACAGGCCGGTAGTTCGCGGGCACAGCGCTGTCACCGCCCTTAAAAATCGGACAGATGATTGCCTCCTTCCATTCCGAAGGTAGGACGCAGCTGTCAAGCGACATTGAAAACATGCATGTGAGAGGACCACCCAGCTCAGGGGTCAATTCATGCAACAGCTTCGGATGAATTGAATCAGGACTGGAAGCTTTAGAGGAATGAATGCCTTGCAATCGCTCGAAGACCTGCGTCTCCGTTATTATAAACTCAGCTAAGCAAGATTCCCCGGGAACTCTTGAAGCCAATTCAACCTGTGGTAAAGAGGTCTCCCGGGCAAAGACCCCAGTTTACTGATCAATAAGTATACAAGCGTTGTCATAGTTTGTTTGCTCACGGCTCCCGTCTGCATGCAATAACGCTGGTATTGACAGCTTTGCCCCGCTGCGTCTTTTAACGTAGGCAAAACTTGGGATTAGCTGCGTCCGAGTCCGCTAAACCCTGCTCATACTGGAGACGAACAGTCCTGAGATGTTGCTTACATTTATTTCTAATCTGTCGATAACTATCATAGGTACAGGCTGATGGAGCTGCTTGGTAGGTTCGCCAGCATCTAGACGGTTTGTTGAGTAGGTTCTTGATTGTGGTATCTATCCATGGAGGCTGTGCCCGTAACCCTCTTTTACTCATGAGTGGTATATAGGGAGTGAAAACCTAGGAAAGATATGCCTTAAATTTATCCCAGGCTAACTGGATAGAGTCTGCCATCGGAATCTCACAGTTCAGAATTGAAGCCTTAGCTCGCATTGCACCAAAGTCTGCCCGCCAAATATTCGGAAGTAATTCAACAGCGGTCTCTTGGTGCCTTGAAAGAGCACATCGAAAAGACATGCATGCGTGATCGCTGGACCCTAGAGGCACCGTATGAAACGTCGGTCACAAAGTCGAGGGACTTAGCGAAAACCAGATCTAAAGTAGATGGTATTTGGTTGTCCATATACCTAATGTGGAAGTCCACGAACTGCTGCAAAGGCACTTGAAGAGTCAGCTCACGAAAGCCTGCACCGAAGATTCTTCACGCCGAATTGCAAAAAATATCGGCCCAACGGACTTCCGGCAGGTTGAGATCCCCTCGAACCAAACACTTCGCGCACTGATTGCGAATAAAGTCAATTATTCCCCTGGAAGCACTTCCAGAACCCCTGTACATCACTTCAACTGTAAACTGGGTAGCGGAAGTGCACAAAACAGCCCTAGGGCTTCAACAGTCTGATCCGACAACTGAAATGTGCAGGTCCTCAACACATCTGTTAAAGCTCACATACAGTACAACGCTTCCGCCTTGGCAACCAACGGAGCAATCAGTTCTAAGTAGCGCCTAGCCAGGTAAACATTACCTCACCGTCCCTGATATCCGGAGACAACTACGTTTCAGTGAAAGCAAGTATGTCGGGACGAGATTTGTCTACAAGTAAACCCAACTCGTGCACCCTGTTCCTTAGGCTACGCACGTTGCTAAGTACCACCTCAAGGAAGTCGGCACGACCATCCCTGGGTCGTGCGCCATCACGATGGGTCCTGATAGGGCGGAAAATGACTTCCGGCTGACCACCTGAAAACCCACCAGACGGAGGCCTTGCTCACCAGCCGCCCGTCTAGTTTTGTGGTCTTTGATAGCCTTTAACTTCAATCTATCTGCCAGTGGAAGGTCTGGCGGAACGCTGACACCACTACCCTTAAGTTTGCATGCAAACCACAATAATGATTTGCGTTCCTCCGGGGTAGAAAGGACCACACGAAGTAGTTGGGGTCTCGGATTTGTCATACCGATAGGGACGTTCACCAATGTGGTCAGCTTCCTGACAGTGACACCAGGGAAGCCAGGTGGAAACAGTTTGATGACGCACAGTTTGAGCCACTTGATGTCATCCAAGATGCGTTTCCTTGGGGGAGCAGCAGCAGATTCAGTAACGTTACGGAATATAACGCTACTATCTGTGAAAGAGTCGGCACGACTGGGAGTGTTTGTCCCACGTGCCTTGGATTCGACACTTATACCAACTGTTTTCACCACTGGCGGTGGGACTGTCCCTGTCTCCGCAAACGACGTCGAAGCAACGGTAGCGTAGATTTTCCGCTCTATTGCCAGCGTCTTACTGGTTCCTGGATCTTCAAGCCCCTTCGAACCTTTACGGGCAGATCTAGTCCGCTTCTTCTTTTGGCTCACGGAAGCAGGGGCCGTTGACCTTGTATCGCATTGAGCAGTTACCAACACTTCGTTAGAACGGGTTGGTTCAATTGCAGCCGAGACTGTCAGCATCTTCAGAATGTTTTTCTGTGCATAACCGTCAGATGACTTCACAACTGCCGAAGACGGCATCTTTCTCGATGCCGTAGCAGCTAATTCTTTGGGTTTAGCAGTGGGCTTTTGATATTTCCGCACCCTATTTTTCGTCACTTTGATCAGCTCATGAGGAGAGTCAGCAATGCTACCTGGAGTGTCCAGTAGGATGTGCGACTTCTTGTCCGAGTGACAGCCCCCAGCAGATGGATCGTCAGCAAAGTTGCCATCTATTGCAGTGTCCTCCATCGCAACATTCAGGGGTTTCCAAATCAAATCCACTTTCTCATCGCGCGAGGCAATAGAGGCGAGTTTGGTTATCGCCTCAACACCTGCCAACCTTGAAGCCAGCGCTGAAAGTTTAGCAACGGTGATGACCGGGCGCGTCGATCTCTGAGCGCAGCATTCAGCACAGCTAAAAAGGAGGTGAACGCTGTATGATAGCATTTTGTACTGGCCAGCTTGTAGGCCGGTACAGCTTTCGTGATACCAGCGGCAGCAGGCGTCACACTGCATACCGCCAGCTAAA